CGAATCGGATCCGACCTCACAACGAGTGGTTGATGAAGAGGGCGGCGAGTACTACCTCCGATCCGGCTCTGGGATTGGTCCGATACATGGCGAAGTTGTAACATCGTTACACTATTAAGTTAATCCGCGCCTATATATTTAAGCCCTATATAATATAAAAAGGCTGGCGGGACTTAGGATTATATCTATTAGATATTAGGCGCGTTAAGAGTAATATATAGAGAGATTTTGCTAATTAGGATGCTAACTGCTAAGATACTGGTAGTAGTAGTGATAGTAGTAGTAACACTACTATAGATGGAACACTACCACCACTAGAGCTGAATACACCTCTAACAGTCCGGACGCTTAAGCGCAATATTAACTATTATCTAGAGAATAAAGAGCTTAGCGAGAATGTAAAGCGTACGCTATTTAGAGCGTATAATATATCTATTACTAGAGACTAAGCGATTAGTAAGTTACGCACTATAACTTTAATCGCATAATGTTACAAGTAACAAGAAGGATTCTTTCCTTGATAAATGATGAGATGGCTGCGAGCCTAGGGACGTCTACGTTAAAAGGTAATGGACATTGCGGGGCTCGGAGTCACGTGATGTGCTATCCCGCCAAGGCTGGCTATCTGGGATGGCAGTGTATAAAGGGATGGCAGCGCTATCTCAGACCTCCCGCTAAGATGGGATGGACGGGATGGCAGGACTGGAAGCAATGAGGATATAAGGATGGATAGATTTCATTATTACTCTCGTTGTGGTCAACTCAAATTATACTTTCTTACTAGTATCTTTACTTAACAAGATTGTCACAAGTTAGTCTATTAAATAGATTAGTCTTGTTAAACCCTCCTTAAGCACGCCAACTTCACTGCATCGCTAGACAAGCCTCACGGAATACTAACGTAATACTTACTTGCCTTAGTGCGGACTAGGATAGAGAAGTATAGACCCTTACCCCGTGTAACACTTTGACCACTCACGGATCTAGTGGAAGGAGGATTAACCAACAGCGTCCAAATAAGATTGAACCATGTCAGGAAATTCAAGCGAATACGTTAACATCCCAGGCCCGGCGCCTGAGGGAGATGTTAACATGACTAGTAGTACCTAAGGGGGAAATAACGAGCCGGCGGCAGGGAGCCCTGAGTACGAACTCGTCAATCTTAGACGTGAGAGCTAAGCCTAAGTAAGGTAGATGGCTGAGTTGCAGAATACGATTAACTAACTTATGGGCCAACTAATGGCCACCCCGAACGAGAAACCACTTAAGAAGCCAAAAATGGCAACCCTAGAAAAGTACGATGGAAGTCGCACCAAGTTGCGGACATTCCTTACTAACATCGACTTATACTGCGAATTCAACGAAGTACCTAACGACTAGGAAAAGATCCTCATGGCCAGCACCCACATAAAAGGACGAGCGTTAAGCTGGATGCAGCCATACGTGGAGGACTATCTATTAAATATTAAGAATAGAGGAACGAAGGACGAGACGCGCGCCTTGTTCACTAGTTAGGCCGAATTCAAGAAAGAGATGGGACACATCTTTAGGGAAGTGGATGCTCAGAACTAGGCAGAGAAAGCGATAACTCGCCTGAAGTAGACCAGTTTAGTATCAGCGTATATAGCTGAGTTTAAGCAGCTATAGGCACGAATCGACTGGGACGACGCAGCACTTCGAACGGTGTTCGAAGCAGGTCTGAAGGAAAATGTTAAAGACGGACTTGTACATCACGATAAACTAAACACGCTTTATGCGCTGATTGAGTTAGCGATACGTATTGATAATAGGCTGTGGGAAAGAAACTGATAAAAGAAACAATTTTAACCTACGGTGGCTAACATAAGGAGGCAGCGTAGCTGGTTCGACAAAGATGGCGATACTATTATGACTGGTAAGGTACAAGATAAGTCTAAGGATAAGAATAAGAAACCCTGAGGATAGTATAATAACGGACTCTCTACGGAAGAACGTAAGAAGCGTTATGATAGTAAGGCATGTCTCCGATGCGGTGAAGTAGGACACTTCCGTAGAGATTGCCTAAAAAACGAAGTTAGACAAGGAGCGGTCAAGATTGGGATGATTCGGATACTAACACCATACCTAACTGAGGAGCTAGATGAAACTCTTAGCGACCTAGACCTGTACGAAGAAGCAAGATAAGCCACTGATGAGGCGTTTGAGCTAGTATAAGAGGCAATAGGACTCTAAGACTTTAAGTGGGACGCACCACTACTAACGGATTGGCAGATTGAAGGGGCCGAAGTACTACGCCGCCTAAGAAATTAATAGTGCTGGATCTGCGGACTAACCACGCACTAAGCCAACGATTGCGACTGTAATGGAAGAGTCACAATCTCGGGACCTTGAGTAGATGAGATTGCCTGCAGGGCTGCCTAGGAACAACCTAGGTTTAAGGAACCTGATGACGAGGAGATACCTCGGACGTTCAAGGAACGGATGGAGCAACACGAGCGCCTATGTTGGGTCGACTGCCTAAGACAGTGTAATTACCACTTAAGGAAGCGAGAAGAGACCAGAGATAACGAGGACAATTACTGCCACACTAATTTATAGCATAACGAGTGTCGCGTACAGCATTACCACATACACTAGCCTAGAGAAAAGGAAGCTCACGAAGAGCTATGCTGGATCAAGTGCACGATCGATTACCAATTCCACAAGGAATAGCGACAGAAAGCTAGAAGGGTAGACGACTACTACCATAGCACGATTTCCGCCGAAAAATACATAGCAAAGAACTACAGAATGCATAGGGCCCAAGTACGGGAAACGCCAGTAGAGCACAGTAAACTCCTATGGACGCATTGCAGGAAAGGTTATGCTATGCACCAACAACAGTTTAAGAATACTCGACAGGTAGACAACCACTACCATAGCATCCTACCAGCAAATATTTGTAAGGCAAAGGATTGCCCGATTCACAAAAGTAAGAAGCCGGAACCAAAGAAGAGGGCCACGCAACAGAAGATACCTTATAAGAATATCCATTGGAGCTTCTGCTACAACGATCAGTATACGATACACTATTCCGCCAAGGTAGGCGAAGGCTACTTCCCAAAGAAGAAGGGAAGCAGGCAGTTAAAAAACTAGGATACTACCAGGGATAGGGTCACGCTGGCAAAGGCAGTCCTAAAACGACCCTTAAGTAAGTATAGGAAGTGGGAGCAAAAGAGTTACAATTGAAAGCCACAGTACTTGTAGACGGATATGAGGTGTTAGCGCTCATAGATAGTGGGGCAGCACGAACTATCATATCTCCACGAGTAGTGGAAGGAAACAACATACCCTATCAGAATAAGAAGGTACCGATGCGAGTAGTATTAGCCGACGATAGTCCCATAACATACGGGAACGGCTGGATCCGACTTGAGACCAAGACAGTAACGTTACGCCTGGCCGGTTAAGAAAGCTGAGAAAAGATTAGCATTATAGATCTTAGAGAGACCGAGATAATAATTAGCTACGATTGGTTGTTAAAGCATAACCCTACCATTAATTGGTAAAAGAAGACATTACTCAGCCAAGAACCTATGCACAAGGTTGCTGGAGTAAGACACGAGATACGCCCGACGAATCAGCGCGCAACCTAGGACGGGAGATTCGGTATAATCTCACCACATAAGATCGCGAGAATCTATGCGAAGGACCCTCAGAGTGTAGGAGTCATTTAGATACGGCAGATCGCGACCACGAAGGAAGAATTGGTACTACAGTTGGCGATTCCAACAGAATACTAAACGGACGAGTTTAGAGAACTGTTCGAGGAAAATAAGGTAACGGACCTAGCAGACCATCAGAATTGGGATCACAAGATCATCCTTGATAAAGGAGCTAAGTTAAGCCCAGAACTAATATACCCTATAGCGCCCGAGCATGATGCTAAGCTGCGGGATTACATCTAAAAGAACTTAAAAAAGGGATTTATCCGACCAGGATCAGGCCCGATAGCCTCACCCATCTTGTTCGTAAAGAAACCTAACGGGAAGTGGCGATTATGTGTCGACTTTAGAAGGTTAAACAGCGTAACTTAGAAGAACTGATATCCCTTACCACTTATTACAGAGCTCATAGATTAACTCTAGAGAGCTAAGTGGTTTACGAAGTTCGACGTTCAGAAAGAATTTTACCGAATTAGGATTAAAGAAGGTCACGAATAGATGACAGCGTTCAAAACGAAGTACGGACTCTTTAAGTACACGGTTATGCCGTTCGGATTAACAAATGCGCTGGCAACCTTTCAATCAGTCATTAATAACGCTCTCCACGAATACCTCAGAATCTTTGTTACCGCGTATCTAGACGACGTACTAGTGTACTCTAGCGGCACACACGAAGAACATGTCGAGCATATTAAGAAGGTTTTACGAAAGCTTAAGAAATACAAGCTATACCTTCAACCAGAAAAATATGAATTCCACACACAGAAAACGGAATTTCTCGGATTCATTATATTAACCAAAGGCGTAAAAATGAACTTAAAGAAGATACAGACTGTACAGGAATGGCCAAAACCCAAAACAGTTAAGAATATTCAGTCCTTTTTAGGATTTGCAAATTATTATTGAAAGTTCATTAGAGATTACTCAAAGATCACAGCACCCCTTACGGAAGTAACGAAAAAGGAAATAGGTTTTAAATAGGAACAGGAACATTAAGAGGCTTTCAATCGAATCAAGCAGATATTCCTGGAGGCGCCAGTACTCGAGATGTACAGCTCTTAACAACCCACCAGAGTTGAGACCGACGCGTCCGACTATGCACTCGGAGCTGTATTATCACAGTAGTGCCTAGATAGGAAATAGAGACTAGTATTCTACTATTCACGGAAGTTCTCTAGAGTAGAACTCAACTACGACGTTCACGATAAGGAACTACTTAGAGTAGTTGATGCCTTTAAACAATAGGAAGTGTACCTATTAGGACTCCCCAAACAGATCGAGGTTTTTACCAATTACCAGAACTTAACGAGTTTTATAACAACGAAAATAAGAGCAGCTAAGAAACTTAAGAAAAAAGGCCTAACACCCGCGATCCACTGGGTGCCTGGCCACCAGGATATTATAGGAAACGAGAAAGCAGACGCGCTAGCAAAGGAGGCGACAAAGCTAGATCCTAGCTCTAGTAGGACGAGTCTAGCTGTAATAGGCACACGAATAAAACAGCTAGGCGAGCGAGAGTGGCTCAGCTATCTAGAACAATATAGGAGGAAGGCTATTGCCCTCAACTCTACTACTTATGCTGCAAGGTATAAGTGGAAGACTAGGAAGCAGATTGCCACTCCTCCTCTTACTAGTAGAGAAGTCTCTAGCGCCTTCTTTCAACTTAAGCTAGGCCACTGTTACCTAAGAGACTTTCTCTTTACGCGAGACAAAGTAGACTCTAAAGTTTGCCCCTGCAACTATAGAGCTACTCAAGATCCTACCCATATCCTCCTTAGCTGTACGCTATATAAGGAGGCTAGGATAAAGATGCAGGAGGCGAGCAAGGACCCCCTATCGCTA